TGTTGAACTTCTGTGTCTATGGCTGTGCCGGACCGGGAGTGGCAGTGATAGTGGCTGTGCATCTACCATACGCCAGCATGGACTTTCCTACTTACCATATACGTACATTCTTTTGTTCTGTACTTACTTGGCATCCTGCCATCCCTCCATATGATTCTGGTACGTTCTACGATGTTCCGGACTATTCTAGACAGCGTCCGGATTACTCGCATTACTCAGCCATGGACTATCTGACCTTATGTCGATTATGCTCCCTTACTCAGCGTTACTCATTGCTCAGTCAGCGTCCTCTGGACGTCACATGCTCTCTTCTTATACGCTTACTCATCGTCCTCCTCAGTAGTATATAAGGAGGACTCTGCAGGCCTCTGCTCTTCAGTCGTTCTCTCACAGACTGAAGAGTAAGTCCCACACTACCTATGTTTCCTTACATGTTTACTTACTAGTACTTGTAGCCTCTCTTTGTGCGGCTTACAGGTACAGTACTATGCAATCATAGTCGTTCTCTCACAGACTGAAGACCTCTCTTTGTGCGGCTTACAGCCTTCCAGGTTCAGAGTTCATCACGAACCATTTTCGTCGATGTGGTCTCGAGGGGCCCAGCAGACTCTATGTAGTCAGCGCAGTCTCCCAGAACATGATACTTGTAGGTTTTCCAGGTACCGAACTTGACGATGCGAGGTTGGGTACTGCCAGCCTTTTTCCCAGGCCGTGCACCCTGTCGACGAGCACGCGCTTCCGCCTCCTTTGCAAGCTCATGTGTGATGTGACCCTCACAGGTCGTGCACGCAAAGTGCCGCACCGCCGCGTACATGTGCTTGGTGGCCGCGCGGAATATGTCGACCGTGACTTGCGTATGCAGGCGGAGCTTTGCTAGAGAGTACCAGTTGACTAGCTCGAATAGCAAGTCGGCGATTGTTTGATCGTCCCGGAGTGGCAGCAACCCTTCAAAGGCCGGCATCGCCGTCTTGGCAAGGAGGACATTCAGTGAACAGGAGTGTCAAGAGTGGCCGTCAGGACACACCATCAGGAAATCTTCGTAATCTCGGGCGGCGAGCTTATTCTGACGGGAGACGTTGTGCCAAAAGCGTCGTATCTTGTCTCGCCCGAACGTAGGCATTTGTCGCATGCTGTATTACATTCTGATAAGCTGCAACATCAGGACACATAGAATTTACTTGCCGTCGGTCGAATTCCTGCACCGCATTCGGCCCTTGTGCTTCGAGGAGTCGCATGAGATGAGTGAAAATGCCTTTCCAGACGCCGAGGTCGAACTCATGCATCAGGTCGGGCGCGAACATCTGATAGAAATTGAAGGTGGGATCAACCTCGGAGAGACGGACGGAAAAGGCGCTCTGCGAGAGGTTAGTAGAGAAAGGGAGGCGCATATAGCGCACTAAATGCACGCACCTGCATCGGGGTGAGCGACTTGCTATCGAGCACGCGTTTGAGTCGTTGGCTTGTGACTTTGTACCCCTTCGTAAACAGCCACTCGCGTGTTTTCTGCACGGAAGTCCGCAAGGGTGCATCGTCAACGCGCTTGAGTGTGCGACGACGGCGGAGGTCCGGTTTTGTCCCAGCTTGAGCTATCTGGTCTTTGGTCACAAGACAGCGTGGACACGGGCATTTGCCAAGGTTCTTGATGGCGGTAAGTAGCACTCTGTCCAAATTATGTCAGTGCTGTGTAAACAGTCATGTAAGGTACGTACTTCTCAGGGTAATCCGCGGAATAGGTGAGCAGGCGCGGAAATAGGCGACGGAGGACTCCGTCGCCACACTCCAGCACAATGCCATGCTCGTAGGCTTCCATGAAGTCGGTGTCGAGAAGCTGCAACCAGATCTGCTGCATTAGCTCGCACTTGCACCAGCGCAAGGTTTCGGCCGACGGTGCCTGCCCGTAATGCATCCGGTAGAAGTCCTGTAGGGCGTCGGGGAGCTATCGTAGATTGAGCATTAATTATTTTGAATTCAGAGGGCAGGCGGCGTGTGGACGGCTTACCGATGGCAAGTATGCCAAGTGCTGCGCAACAAACTCGGTCGGCTTGCCGCGGATGTACTTGTTGATGTTGGCAACGTAAAGATATATCGGCCATAGAGATGCCGAACCGAAGGTGGCGAGGCACGTCGCATCTGACCAGATGCATATGGGCAGGATTCCGTACTCCAGGTCCGGCGGATCGTCGGGATTGCGTGGGCGCCGCTTGAGCTCCGCTTCATGCCGGTTCATTTCATTGGTGTCGAAGGTGTCTGAGAACACACGGATGGGCGGGACACGCGGAGTGCCAGGGGCTGCGCGAGGATCGGTGGGTGGCAACCAGTAGGTCTCGAAAGGGATCCAGTTTCGCTTACTTGCAAAGCGGCGATCCTGGACCTCACCGACGAGCACTTCGAGTAGCTTACGGAAATGGAGACCCTGAACCTTGAAGCGTGGGGCGTCAGCTTCGGACGCATACTTTGTGCCGGGTTTGGGGAGTGGGATGTCGACCGAAGCGGCACGCCAACCGTCGCGCGCCGAGAAGATCCCCGACGCAGGCGTGTAGTCGTCCAATTTCTTCATCAGACCGCGCGCGGTGAGCGGCTTGACATCCTCGGGCTTGAACGTCTCCGACTTGATGACCTTGAGGAGAGCGTCGAAGTCTTCCAAAGACTTGCCGTTTGAGGCATTGTTGAACCATTCCGCAAGAGAGAATGATGTCTCGTTGTCGCAGGGGCCCCACGGACGTTCCTCGGCGTCCTCCTTGGAGCGGTCAAGCCAGCGAACGGACTTCGGCAGTTCTCCTTGCGATGGAACCTCCGCGGGTATGTCGGACACTTCATCCAAAGTCGTTGCTTGACAAGGATTGACCTGGGGCACGGACCGGTACGCACGGAATACACCGAAGCCGTCCATCGGTGTGTCGTGTATTTCTTCTGCTGGTGGGCCTGCGGCAGCACCTGATGTGTCGTCGCCAGGCAAAGGTGGTGTAACAGAGCGTGCGGGTGAAGCTGGAGGTGGGGGAGATGGGTCGCGGGGGATGGCGTCTGCGAACTGTGACGGCAAGGCCCGTTTACTTGACGGGAGGTAGTCTTGCCATTTGGAGGGCACCTTGATTCCTCGCCCAGAGCGTTGGGTGCATCGTACGGGCGGGCTTGGTGGCGCGGCGATGGGGATTTCAACCTGACGATGTGAGTATATGCTGACCTGTGAGTGTGATATATACTGGCATACCTCGGGCTCTGGCACATAACCCTCCCATATGCGTGCTATCTTCCGGTCATCCTCCGCCTCCACCCGCATTGCCTTGCGCTTGTTGAGACTTTGCTGAATAACAGGAATGCGTCCCGGGCATTTTTTGGCGTGTTTTCCGAGGCCGTATGCGGTGTTGAATGACTTGGGACATGTTGTGCAGGAATTGCTGGGCATGATGAACCCTACAGTAGGCAAGAGTACAGAAGGCAAGCAAAGTGGGAGAGGCGAGTGAAGGGGATGCGGTCAAGAAGAAGGCAAGGACGCGGCCGCCGAGAATGGCAGGACGCGGTCGCCGAGAATGGCAGGACGCGGTCGCCGAGAATGGAAGTAAGTGACGCGACGTGCGTGAGCGCGGTACCGCGTTTGTCACGTGATCGCTCCCTTACCCTTGAGGGGGCGAAAAAAATCGTCCTCTCACTCTTCTCCCTCTCCCCCTCATCTCCTCTGTCATGCACTTACACTCCGGCTGGGTAAAGCGACTCCCTGTACCGCCCGGTGTGAGCACCTCAACCCGCACTAACATCCCGAGTACTGCGGGATCTGGCCAGTCGCGTGCGAAGTCCGTGGCAGCCGGGGCGCCCAAGCCAGTGCCTGCACGCGAGCCCTCGCCTGCACGCGCGCCATCGCCTCGTCCACTCACTCCTCCACCCACTGCGGCAGCAGCAAAAGGAAAACGCAGGCAAGTTCAAGAGCCCTCTCTATCACCACAGCCACCATCGAAGCGTCCACGCGTTGAAGACGTGGTCGATGACGGCGCCGAGGACCCAGTTCCAGAACCTGTCGAGGAGCCTGTGCAAGCACCCGAGCATTGGCTACTACAGCTACTTCCACTCCTGGACATTAACGACACGCAAGTACCCTCGTAATGATAGCATATAGTCACTAATATCCGCATATAGGAAGCGACAACGTATCGACAAGGGATACGAAGGCTACTACAACGATGTACGGCTAGTACGCCGCGCTATGGGCGAGTTTGTCAAGATCGAATCGGCATTCACACGCGGCGCTGAGATCTCCGCCTCCCCCGAGCGGATGGCTCAGCTCCAACCGGGAGTCAAGTAAGTCGCTACCATCTCGTGCTGCAATAGCTGCTTTACTGAGACACCACTCATAGGTACAGCCGGGATTGTCAACTCGTAGACTCCTGGAGCGTGTTGCAGAGTATGCAACCCTCCCTCGTGGAGTGCGAGGACTACTTTCGTGCGAACCCTGACGAAGCGGCAACACTTCTAACATATGTGAGCATCACATATATGTCATGTCCATTGGAAGATCTGACACCATGTGCCTGACCCAGATGGATGCGGTCGCCAACCGCACCCGCAGCGAGGATCTGTGCCGCCTCCGGGACAGTGTGATTAAGTACTCCAAGCCCGACCGGGGTGTCGGGGACATTCTCGCGGTCAAGGCCTTACGCGGGTTCAGGCACGAGCACACAGCACGTCTACTATGTCCAATCACAAAGAGGGAATTGTTTGAAGAGGACCCAGAGACGTACGTGATTGGCCTGTCCTTTGTTCTGTACTGACATCACGCTCTCACAGATTCCGTCTCCGTGTCATCAATAGGGACAAGACCTTGCTTATCACTGCCAAGGACTGGCCGATATTCTTGTACGACGAGAATCTGTTCATCATCGGCCACTTGAAGTCCGGGCTCCTGCGGAGTCTGCTGCTTGTCCGGGTTCGTCTCAACCACCCCTTGCGCCCTCTTGATTCTGACATGCTCCATCCGCCCCGCAGTGTTACAAGCACACGTACACAGGTCCCTCAAGCGCAGATCGAGAGGTCGAGCTCTATGCGACATACAAAGGCACCCCGTCGCTCTCACGCAAGTACAAGATTGATACAGTCACTCCAGAGACCATCATCTACGTGGCCGTCCTCGTATGTTGCCCCTCCGTTCTGGCTACGCATTCTAACAGGTCTGGTATGTAGATGCGATCGGCGCTGAGCTCATGTGCCACATGGGCAGACAGCGACGGGTCCTGGAGCGGCCCGGTGTTCGTTCGCTCTCTTCGACGGGTCTTCCATATGTACCCGGTGTGGGCTGAAAACACGCTTAAGTGGTGGAGGCTGTGAGTGTTCTGCCCACCGCTTGCTCCGCGTCTGCTAACCATTTCTATAGACAGATCTATGGAGATGTGGATGACCAGCGCGAGGACGACGTCGACAGCGATTGCGCCGCCGACCTCATCGACCGCGAGGGCGATGATGTTGAGTACGAGGAGCCGACTATCCGCAAGCACGTCATCACGCCCGCCGTCAAGCTCACCGTCATGCCGGCTGCTAAGCCTGTCGCCGCCGACTTCCAACAGGGCTCGAGCAAGGACGGCATGCACTCCCAGCCGAGCGACGACGACTAGGAGGGCACATCCGAACTCCAGGTAAGCCTGACAACGTCACTGTGTTATAGTCAGCAAGTTTACAATAATATTATACAGCGCCGCAATACATCGACAATCACGCCATGTCATGTCGCGCTCCCCGCGCGACGGTACCTCTCTGCTGCGGCTGGCAAACTTGGCCCGCCCACGGATGCCGCCCCTCACTGCTTGCTGTCTGCCTCTGCCGCTCTGCTCTCGCGCTCTCGTTTCGACTCCTCTGTTCCGTTGTACCTGCTGTCTGGTCCCAGTGTCTCCTCCGCGCGCACGCATTCCGCCGTCTCATTCAAGCTCGCCTCCTCGCGCGTTCGCTGCGCGCCTCGGTCTTCAAGTACTACGCTTGCGCGTGCCCCTTCCGTCCCGACGTCTCACGGACGCCGGTCGCGCGTGCGTCCCGCGCCCATGGCTATGTCTCACACGATAGGCTCTTCCGCCGTTTTGTCCAAGCTGGGCTCCTCGCGCGTCCGCTGGGCGCCTGAATAGTCAAGTTCGTTTGCGCATGTTCCCCATCTACCCCGATGACTCGACACGGTCGCGCACACGTCCCCCATCCATTCCCATGTCTCACGCGAGCTTGCGCGCGCGTGCACCCGGCGTATTCCCCTGTTTGACTGCATGTACCCGTACCCGAGCCAGAATAAATCGATTATATTTGCCATTTTATCGAAACCGAGCGGCGAGTGGAGGGCAGCCCGGCGCGAGCGCTGTAGCGGTGCCCGCTGCTACTATCTGGGTGTGTGTCTATTGTAACATTGCTCTTTACCCTGTAATCGCCATCATGTCTTGTAAATGTCCACTCGATTGGATCGAATATTACAGGGTATGGGCGCTATTACAGGGGATGATGCAGTACTATGATAGACGGCCACCGAGTCCGGGTCACCTGGACCCACGGATCCGGGTCTTGCGGCTCCGGGTCCGGGTTTTCCCGGCTCTATCCGGGGTTTGACCTGAACCCGTGTTCAGCCTTAGTGTCGTGTACGCGGATGCGACACCTGCACACACTGTGCACTCACCTAAGGCTGCCTCCGCTGCGTTGCGCTTTGACGCGTATGCCACGTGCCGAATCGGAGGGGAAGGACGTTGACAGACGGTGGCGGGAGGTCGATAGCGGGCATAGCGGACGGCGGGATGAGAGACGGCGGGGACGAGAGACGGTGGTGGGAAGTCGATGGCGGGCACAGCGAGAATGGACGGCGGACGGCGGGACGGGAGACGGCGGGGGCGAGAGACGGCGGGGGCGGGAAGACGGCGCTGGGCAGGCCCAGCGAAAGGAAGGCGGCTCGGGGGATTCGCGAATCGAGCTTTCCTGTGGCGCACCGCAAACCCTATATATCTGGTCGGGTGAGCGCTCGTGAGCGCTCCGAATTGACGATCCCAAGGCCGCGCGCTATCTACCTCCGAATCCGGCAGTCTAATGCCATCTTCGCAAGCGAATGAGCAGACTACTCCTATTCTATCGATACTCACCGTAAGTGCGTCCCATTCGAGAGTCTAGCAATGCAGAATCAGCCGCGGAAGACGGCGTCACCAGCGGCTCGACCGTCTTCGTCGCAAGCCTCGCGAGGCTCTGATATCCTCAATTCTTCGTGTACACGTATCCCACAGCAACAAGATATTTACTTACCGCTCGTTGGAGCCAAACCTTGCTCAAACTCAGCCGTCCGTGCTGGGATCAGCCTCGTGCGGCCGCGGAGGTTTGCGTAGCTAGCCCAAGGTCTCGTAGCGGTGGCGGTAGTCCCAGAATGTAGACTAGACATGGAATAGGGAGTTACGCCGCCTTGTGAGCATGGAAGCGAGTTTGTGTTGCGCCAGGCCCAGTGCGTGGTGGAGGAGCAGAACGAAGGAACGGGCCTCGGACGCCCAGGTCCCGCGGAGAGGTGTCACTGCCGGATTGGGAAGGCTCTCTCCCAATAGGCGCCCAAAGCTGCCTCCTCGAGTCCTTCGTCTCGACCTCCTCCTCCCTCACTCGCGACGAAGGTCTCAGGCAACATCGCTCAAGAAATCCCCAAATATGCGGATATAATCTGAAATGTGCGAACAAAAGCAGCCATACCAGTCTCGCTGCACCACTGGAAACCGGCAGTCTACCCCGAGCCCGACACTGCCGCCAAAGTCGCCCTGATCCTGCCAGGCCCCGGGAAGCGCATAAAGCCACTCGGGCGGCCGTGAGACGCAGAATGGGACGAGGCGAATAAGGCAAGCACAACTATCTAGGTGACAGGCCGTGATTTCATAATGGGAACCTCCTTTTAAACAGGTTTCCCCGCGCTCCGCTGTAGGCCGCCCGAGTGCCAGTGGCCGGCCACCGAGGGTCGCGGCGGATTGCTTCATCGGGCGGTAGCGTCGGACCCAGGCCTCCGGGAATATGGACGAACAGGTACTCCGAGTCCCAGGTGCGCACACGAGCTATGTATGCGATCGCGACCTCCCCATTGCGCGACCAATACTGATATCTTCTTGCAGATGACATGGCCCTTGAACGTTTCGCCATGCTCGCACTCGGAAGCAACTCGCCAACAGCTGCGACCCGGAGCCCGGAGTCCCCTGAGCAAGTCCGACCGCCGTTAAAATGCGCCGCTCTGGGCCGTAAAGCGAGCCGAGCTCGGCGCGGTCAACCTCTTCCGCCGCCCCGGAAAGCGTGACAGGCAGCGGGCGCCGCGTCTGCTGCTCATTCGCCTCACGGCGCGAGCGAACAGAGGCATCGCAGGTACGCGTACTCCCATTCTCGTCTACTGCGGCATTTCGGACTCACGTCCCTCTTTCAGACTTCGCATTCGTAGTACGATGTTTGCTATCACGAAAACGACGCAGGTGCAATGAGCGGATACCGGTGGGATCGTGTACAGACGGCCAGAACAACCTCGCCGTGCTCGCTCACCTTCCTCCGCCCGCGCCCAGCATCTCCCTCCCCGTTCCGGGCCTCCCGAAGACAGAGCCCCTCGATTACAAAGGTGCGATCAATGCGCTATTTCCCAGTCTGTCTGGCGGCCTCTCACGCACTCTCTTTGACAGGTTTCACTCCGCATTCGTCGACGACGCCGTACAGGCGACCAGTAACCCATCGGGCGATTGGAGGTGTCCCGCCCTCGCCGTCACCCTGAGGAGTTTGCGCTCGTCTGCATGGGCGAAGAACTCTGCAACACGAGGCTTTGCGCGTACGCGTACGTTGGCTACAAGCGGCCCGGTTTCGTCTGCGGAACACCGCTGCATGGCCCGCGCGACGGTGAGTACACGCTCGCTCTTCGCTCACGATGTGCCACGCTAATCGGCTCGCTACGCAGGCAGCACGAAGGAAAATTTACAGATCGCAAGCTACGGATTGATGCGCAACGAATCGCGGCCACACAGGCATCTCCCAGGCCCGTCGTATCGTACCGCGAACAGGCTGTAGCGCCTGCGTTCAGAAGCTGCGAGGTATGTAGTATGTTGACCCGCTACTTCACTCTCGCCGCTCACAGGCAAGGCCCACGCGATTATAGTCGCCGATCCCGCAGTGATACCGCACGCCCGGAACCATCTGCGCGGGCTGCGAGGCGCACCGCGCGCTCGCTGCTTGGGACCGCTGACAGACCAGCGCTCCGGCGCGTCGCTGCGAAGGTCTTCCCCCCGGCGACCATGCTGGGTCACACACGCATAAATCTCGGCTCCGCGTACGCTGTGCAAGGTACCCAGCACCAAGAGAGCGGTTCACCGAGCGCTAGCCATCATGGCGTTCTCCCGTATCGCGAGGGTAACCGGGGGCGTACGGCGCCCGGGGAGAATCCCGCGTCGGGGCGCCCCATCAGCAAACCACCTGCCCATATTATCGGCACCTATAGGGCCTTATAATGCTCATAATTCCCTGTAATATGCGCCCGAGATGACAGAGTATTACTACCTCGGGTCCAGTCCGGATCCAGGTTAGGGTTCCAAACCGTGCCAGATCTGTGCCGGATCCTGACCTGCCTCTACATCATGAACACTCTCCACTGTATGTTCTCTCTGGGCTTCATCATAGCTTCTAACTGGAGTTCTAGGGCACTCATACACTGCTATACTTCTTTCTTTCTGGCTTAAAAGCTCTAAACTTGCACAATCAGACCAGGCTAGGGCCCCAAGCCAAATTGATTTGGCGATCCCGACGCTAATAGTGCAGCGATTTGCTTGTGAAACAGCGCGTTTTGAAGCCATTATGCAGGGCTTTCAGGAACTCCAAAGTACGTCACGATTCGCTTGTTTTTGCATTCTCTGTCTCGCTCTCTTTCCCCTTCTCATGATCACAATGTTGTACCCTACACTTCTCCTCCAATGCTCGCAAATATCTTGCAGTATCTGGTCTTATTTCTTTTCCTTCACTATGCTTCCTGACCTAGAGTGATCGCTATCAAACCCGTCCGCTATGGGCGGTTTTATGATGTGATCAAGTATTATACATACTCCCCTTGTATTTCGTCCATATCTTCCTCAATTATTTTCAGAATCGTACCGTGTTTGTTGCGTCTTACTCGCATTACATAGCGCTATCAGGAAACGCTTAAAACGTCGAAATCCGTCCGCGCGTCCCATAGATATTGCTGCATGCTCCCCCTCCCCCTCCCCCCTCATTTCGCTCATATCATAGCCGTTTCTTATCCGTTCCTGTTCGTTCCTGTTGACGTCCAATCGCATTCGCATTCTGTATCTACCCCTATATTTCTGTCCCATAATATCCATTTTCCATTTTCCATGTTTTCACAGGTAGACCTGTGGGTTACCTGGATCCGGATCCGCGGATCCAGGTGATCCGGGGTCTGGGTCAGGCCCGGATCTGGGTCAGGCTCCATATCCGCACAAAACCCGTAGGTCCGGGTCCGGATGACCCACGGATCGATCCGTGTTCAGCCTTACACGACACTTGCCTCCGGCGGCCGTCTGAGGCAGCCGCGGCGGCACGGCGAGAGGCCCAAGAGACCTGCGCCTCAGCCTCTGGTGTACGCCTCTGCGGACGCTGTTAGCACCGC